GTCTTTGAATAAAGAAAAGAAACATGTAATCAGAATGTATAATCCCCCATAAATATACATTAATTCCATCTAGTTTAACAGTGGAAATTGCAATTGTTTCTGCTTTGTTTTAATTATCTTAAGTGCGCACTGATTTCAAATCTTTCTGATTATGTATAACAGAATGCATGGGTGATATTGGGTATTGTGGTAAACATGCCTAAAAGCTATGTTGTAAATGTCTGGAAGTGGGGTAGTTTATTTGTAGATGAATTAATATTGTAAAAATGCTTACATAATAAGCTTCTCTTCTTTTGAAACATTACTTTTTATCCAAAGGAATAATACCAGCCTTTAAAAATCTATTCTTGATTCTTCTTAGTATGATATGAATTTCTCCTTTCAAGGTGTTTGAAGTGGTGGAACGTGTTGAAGAATTGAGGAGAAAGTGGCCAGTTGCCTGGGGAAAATTGGATGATGGCAGTATAGGTGTTGTAACACCATATGCTGATCAAGTGTTCCGAATTCGGGCAGAGCTTCGGAAAAAGAGATTGTCTGAAGTTAGTGTTGAAAGAGTGCTAAATGTTCAGGGTAAGTAGCACATGAACACCTGTGGTTCTGTGAACTGAGCTGAGAATTTGAAAGCATTCTCACAGTATTAGCTGCTTTCTGTGTTTAGTAGTTTATTCAGGATCCAATTGTAAAAGAACATGGTTACAAAGAGTTTTTTCGTTGAGTTTGCATTTTGTGGTAACTTAAGTAATACGTGGAATATAGGCATGGTTATAAGTATAAAAGCCAGAGTTATAGAGGCACCTTTTCCCCTTGTTTGTAGTTCATTTCCTCATACATTATACAGCATACATATTATTTTTTTCCAATATATCATGAACCAGTACCATATTGGTTTCAATGTTTGTTTCTTTCCCGGAAACACCAGAGATTGGTACCTGATGGCTTCTGATCTCATGGACCCCCACTTTGAGTGACATCATATCCCTATTCATTTTGTGTGGCTTTCTCCATCTCATGCCTTCTTTTTAACCATTGTGTTGTTAATCTAATTTAGATAATACATCCATACTTGTATTGTCTATATCAGTAAGAAGGATGTACCTTGAAACTGGATTCTTATCTCTCTCCTTCCACTGAATCTCTTTCATAGCATTCTGATTCTTGCAATGAGGCACTTTGTCTTATAACAAGTTAGCAAAATATGCGGTTCCATTTTACATGTATATGACTATGTATGGGTAGATGAGAACTGAAAGAAATATATCTTGCATAATCTAAAGATCTTTCTGATAAAAGAGAAATGATGAAAACTTCACATGTAAACGAGTCTTTATTTTTATCCTCTATTTGAGCACAGAGCTCTGTAAGTGAGGAATAGGTATACTCTTGCCATAATTACATATATTAATTAAGTCAGTCTGTGAAACCATTAGATGCCTATATGTGCAAAAATATATATAGCTAAAATGGTTCTATACTTTCCCTTTTTCTTCAGGAAAACAATTTCGGGTGTTATTTCTCAGCACAGTACGAACACGGCATACATGCAAACATAAGCAAACACCAATAAAACGAAAGGAGCATTTATTGGAAGATTCAACAGAAGATTTGGATTATGGTTTTCTGTCCAATTATAAACTTCTCAACACAGCCATCACGAGAGCACAATCCCTAGTAGCTGTGGTTGGAGATCCTATTGCTTTATGTTCCATTGGAAGATGCAGGTACACCAAACATGTGGTATGAGCAACCAGTAAATAGTAGTGATGAAAATACTTTATATTTAGTAATTGAGAGTTCATTATTCAGAAAGTAATTCATGTCAATGTATAGTGCTCTGCCGACATAGAGTCTTGGTCTTTTTCAATTAGTTTGTGATCAATGTAGAGCTTTAGAAGCAAAACAATATGTCTTTGTGCCCTTTACTGATACTAAGATCTTTCTTAAATATCTGAATCCTTTTTTTATCAGGTAAAGCTAAAATTATGCTCTAGCAGCAGTCTCTTAGTCTACTTGCCTCTGTGTGTGTGTGTGTGTGTATGTATGTATATTCTCCCTCAGTTTTATAGTGTAGAAATGTCATGTTTTAATGTCTTTTTATGAAAAAAGCTTTCTTGCTAATAAGAAAAATAGCATATCACACTGAAGCATTCTCAACTAACTTTCCTTCTGACTTGCTGGCTTTTTGTGTATATGTGTGTAAGTGCAGTGTGTGAGGAAGGAGCTTTCGAGTGTGTTGCCTCATGTACACAGAAACCAGTCAGAAATCATGCAGTTGAGGAAAAGATGCTTCACATGTTTTTATATCATATTCAGATCAGTGTCCAACTTTTACCCATTTTTTATTTTGTGTCAAAAGCATTGTATAAATAAACAAGTATAAAACTGATAAAATAGGGGGAGCACAAGTGGTTAAATAATTTTAGATCCAAAACGGGCAACAACAACCACATTGTCTGTAGCTTTCAACAATTCTTCCTCTGTGCATGAGGTAGGGCATTGCGAGCAAACATACAGATGTGGAGTTCTTTGTTCTGCTCCACAGTTGCATGACGTGGAGGATTCTTCTAGGTAGTGCCATTTAGCCAGGTTGTCTTTTGATCTGCCAACTTCACTTCTGAGTCTGTATGGGGACTTTCAAGTTGCCCATTCTTGGTCTTGCCCCTGGAGAAACACTCCTTGTGGGGGGGCATCCAGTTGGGATTTCCTGGTTTAGCTGCCCAGAGGGATACTCTTGCTGTTGCTGGGGAAACATTAATAGGAGTGATGGTTCTCATGAAGCTTTTCCTTGATTTGAGTCTACTGGGAGGAAGCTGATAGCATACAGTGAGTGGCTTTCACAGTGTTCAACCTTATTTCTCTCACAGTTGCAGCAACTTCCCATCACACAGGGGGAGGAGCAATGCCAGCTTGCTTATAGAGTCTATCAGCAGGTGTAGGTTTGAGACATCCTGTGATTATTCTACATGTTTTGTTCAGTGCTATATTCACCTGCTTTGCTTGGGCAGACTTGTGCCAAACAGAGCAGGCATACTCAGCAGTTGAATAAGACAGCTTCAGGGCTGATATTCTTATATTTTGGGTCTGCACCCCATGCACTTCCAGTAAGTTTCTACAAGAAACTGAAGGCAGAAGGCTGGATGGCCATCTGTCAGGGGTGATTTGAATGCAATATTGCTGCTTCTTGGCAGAAGGGGGTTGGACTGGATGGCCCATGAGGTCTCTTCCAACTCTTTGATTCTATGATTCTAAGATGTTATTGTGTGCAGCTTTTATCAAATAAATAGCATCATTGACCAAAAATTAGATGAGATGATCCATATGATATCTTTTTCATCCCAGGCACAGCATTTTATTTTTGAAGAATCAAAAATTTGTAGATGTTTTGAAAGAAAACATACAAAAAACCGAGTTTGACGAGCTAATAATAATGGGGGATTTCAACGGGATACTAGATAAAAAACTAGATAAAAATTCCGGGAACCATAGCATACCAAAACCAGACAAAAACACCCTTCCCAAAAAATTCCTAAATTTTAAGGAGGAATTTAATCTCCAAGATGCATGGAGGCACCACAACCCAGAAGGGAAGGACTACACCTTTTTCTCTCACCGTCACAAGTCATGGACAAGAATTGACATGATATGGGTTTCTAATTCATTAGTATCCAAGATCCATAAGATAAGGATAAAAGCTAGGGATGTGTCGGACCACTGCCCGGTTGAGTTAGAATTATTCAGTAAACCAGACAATAGAATCTGGCGCCTCAATGAAAACTTATTAAAAACTGAAGAGGATATCGGGAAAAACAAAGAGTTAATAAGGGAATTCTTTAAAATCAATGATACACCTGAAGTCTCCCCTCAGACAGTCTGGGATACACTAAAGGCAGTCATGAGGGGAAACTTAATCCAGCAAAATAACATAAAAATAAAAAAAAAAGAAATAAGGATCTAAGAGAGGTGGAGAAACAAATGGAAGAACAGGAAGGGGATCTAAAGAAAAATCAGAGAAACACCCATCTAATAAAGGAATTAAACCTACTAAAGAGGAAAAAACAACATCTAGAAATGGAGGAGCTGGCCAAAAGATATAAATACATTAAACAATATAACTTTGAAAATGCAGACAAACCTGGCAAATGGCTAGCCAGAAAAATCAGAAGGAAAAAACAATCAACCTATATCACCAAAATTAAAAAAGGCAATGGCTATGTCACCAAAGACGAGGAAATAAGAGAAGAATTCCAAAGCTTTTTTACCAAACTATACACAAAAGACGAGATTCAGGAGGAAAAAATATGCAATTACTTAGCTAAACTAAAAATGGGAAAGCTCTCGGAAGATCAAAGAGAAGAGCTTAACAAAAGTATCTCGGTGAAAGAGATTGAAGACGTAATTAGAGATCTGGACTCAAACAAAGCGCCCAGTCCGGATGGCTTTTCAGCCATATTCTACAAAACCATGCAAGAGGAAATAACACCATACCTCCAAAAGATAATGAACCAAGCACTGTCATCCTCCATAATACCGGAAACATGGAAAGAAGCCGAAATTGTGCTATTGTGTAAAGATAAAACAGATCCCTACGAACTGCAAAACTACAGACCAATATCCCTTCTCAATTCGGACTATAAAATCTTTGCCAATATAATGGCAAGAAGGCTGAAAAACTTTCTCAAAGTCTGGATAGGAGAAGACCAAGCGGGCTTTCTCCCGAACAGAGGGGTGAAAGAGAACATCAGGAACATCATAAACTCAATAGAATATTACGATCTAAACATCCAGAAGGAAGTGGCGTGGCTTTCTCTGGATGCAGAGAAAGCCTTTGATAACTTGAGCTGGTCATTCCTTAAGCACCTCATAACAGAGTTAGACATGGGCTATTTTTTTAAAAAATGCCATAGAAGCCATCTATACAGACCAGTCGGCAAAAGTCCAGATTAATAAACAAAGGTCAGGGAAGATCGCGAATACCAAAGGCACCAGACAGGGGTGCCCACTCTCACCACTGCTTTTTATTCTTGCCCTAGAAACCCTATTAAGAGCAATCAGAGAAGACAGGGAGGTCATAGGTCTGAGATTGGCAAACCAAGACCATAAAATAAGAGCTTTCGCCGACGATCTAATTTGTATTGTGGAAGATCCGATTAAAAACATAGGGAAGTGGCTAAAAACTTGAAGAATTTAAAGAAGTAGCGGGATTCAAATTAAACAAAAACAAAACAACGATCTTAACGAAGAACATGACAAAAACAAAACAGGAAACACTAAAGGAAATGACTGGCTTCAAGATCTGCTCCAAAATTAAATATCTAGGCATCTGGATAACGCCGAAAAACGCCCAGCTCTACAAAAATAACTATGAAACAACATGGGCAAAAATAAAAAAAATAAATAAAGAAGGACCTAGAAAAATGGAGACATTTAAATCTATCAATACAAAATCTCTCTCATAAAAATGAACATCTTACCCAGGTTCTTATACCTGTTCCAGAATTTACCCATAATAATGAACACACGAGTCTTTGATCAGTGGAATAAGGAAATAAACAAATTCATATGGAACGGGAAAAGACCGAGAATAAAATATAAGATCATGATAGACAGAAAAGAAAGAGGGGGATTGGGGCTACTAAACCTGAGGTTATATTTTGAAGCCTGCGCTTTAGTATGGCTAAAAGAATGGGCACTATTGAGAAACGAAAAAACTCTTGGTCTGGAGGGCTACAACCTGAAGGTAGGTTGGCATACCTATATGTGGTATGGAAAAACAGGCACAGAAAAGAACTTCGGCAATCATTTTGTCCGATCAGCCCTAATAAAGGTGTGGGACAAATATAAGAGATGGTTTTACACCAAAACACCGCTCTGGATATCACCAATAGAAGCCAAGCAGAGACGGCTACTAGGATGGCAAAAATGGTTGACCTATAAAGACTTCCTGGATTACGATACCCATACCAAAACATATTCCCTAAAAACGCAGGAAGATCTGTCAAACAGC